TTTCATTTCAATAGTATGGGAGACGGAGAGTGCACATTTAGAAACAGAATTCACTGAGGAAGAGATCATGGCGTATATCAAAGAATGCAATTGGGACAAAGTCCTGGGCCTGATGGGGATATAATATGAGATTTCTTCAGGATTTTTGGTTTGTGATTAGAGATGATGTACTTGATTTCTTCAAAAGTTTCCATATGTATGACTCCTTTGTTGAAATCAATTAACTCCATCTTCTTATTGATGATTCCCAAAAGGAATGCGTCAAAAGTATCAGTGATTTTAGGCCTGTTAATTTGGTGGGTTGTGTTTACATGCTTCTCTCTAAAGTCCCATCTAAAAAGTTATCAAAGGCGTTAAAGAGAATTATTGGGGATTGCCAACAAGTTTTTATGGAAGGGAGACAAATCACAGATGCCATTATGATAGCAAATGAAGTGCTGGACGACTTGGTTAGAAGCAAGGGGAGCAGGATCCTTTGTAAACTGGATATGGTAAAGGCTTTTGACTATGTTTGTTGGGACTTTGTTGATTAAATGTTAGAGAAGTTTGACTTTGGTTTAAAATGGAGGAAGTGGATCCGAACTTACATTTCTACTACTAGTTTCGCTGTTATGGTCAATGGGGGGGCCATCTTCTTTTTTCATGGCATCCAAGGGTTTGAGGTAAGGTGATCTTCTCTCTCCACTATTGTTTATTATTGTCATGGAAACTTTTAATAGATTAATTGAGCAAGCCAAAGAATTGAAGCTTTTGAGGGGTATTGTGGTGGGAAAGGATAGAAAGCAACTTGAAATCACACATCTTTTTTTTACCGATGACACATTGATTTTCTGTCAACCCGAGGTAGGCATGCTTCTTAATCTGCAATGTATCCTACTTTGTTTTTAGGCTGTTTCGGGTCTTAAATTTAATTTGAACAAATTTGAGTTTGTTGAGATTGGGGCTAATTGTTTGGGGTCCTCTCTTGCAAGGGTAATGGGTTGTAAAGCCACCCAACTACGTATTAAATATTTAGGTATTCTCCTTGGTGCGAAACACAAAGATGGAAGAAGCTGGGATTCAGTAATTGATATGTTTAAGAGAAGATTGACTGTCGGGAAGAGGAAATTCCTTTCAAAAGGAGGCAGATTGACACTCATTAAAAGCACCCTGTCTAACCTCCCGATATATTATTTATTTGTGCTTACCGGTCCAGCTAAGGTGACCAAGAAAGTAGAAATGATTCAGTGTAGATTCCTTTGGGGGGGATGAAGATGGAAGGTGATTTCACCTCGTTAAATGAGATGATGTGAAACGCCCAATTGAAGCAGGTGGACTTGGCTTGAGATCTTTAAGTGTGTTGAATAGAGCACTCTATGGTAAATGGATCTGGAGATTTTAGAATGAAGACAACAATTTGTAGAAAAAAGTTATTAATTACAAATGGGCCATGAATGTTTGTCACAATTAGTCTTTTATGGAGAGCAGTACACATGGCTTAAGCCTTTGGAAGGGGATTATGTAAATCAACAGATCTGTCTTTGATTGTTCTAAGTAGGACGTTGGTAAGGGTAATAAGGTTCGTTTTTGGTTAGATGTCTGAAGTGGGCTTGATAAATTGCAGACGCAGTACCCACTAATCTTTGCTATATCCCGAGACAAGAACATGCTTATTAACAAGGCTTTTGATGATGAAAATGGAAGTGACTGGAATATTGTGGTTAATAGGAATCTGCAAGACTTGGAAGTGGAAGAATATGAAAATCTGTTGCAATTTTTGTCACCATCCGGCTCAACAACGATGAGGATAAGTTAATTTGGTCCCTGAATAAAAATAACTTCTTTGTTAATCTTTCTACACTTATTTTGGCGGTCATAACAGATCAGAGATAATGGATTTCCCTTCTAAAATGATTTGGAAAACTAATGTCCTTCCTTGAAGATTTTTTTTTGCTTGGGAAGCAACGAAATAATGTGTATTGACTATTGACAATCTCATGAAGAGAGGTATAACTTTGACTAACAGATATTTCCTTTGCAAGTGTAACGCGGAATCCTTTAATCACATTTTATTGTGGTGCCTTGTAACTCATAATCTTTGGACTCTGGTCTACGATCTTTTGGACATCTCCTGGGCAATAGCTAGATTGGTTAAGAGTGAGTTAATGGCTTGGGAAGGACTGTGTAAAAAAAATAAGCATTTCAGGCTTATCCCACTTACCATCTTCTGGGTCATTTTTTTTTTTACAAATGGTTTTTGATGGGATGGAAGATAATTTTGTCAGTATCAAGAATAGATGGTTTCACTATTTTGGTTCTATTGTGTTAGACCATAACTTTGGTAATTTGGGTGACTTTGGTTCCATTGTGGATATGCTTATTGACTTGTAAATTTTTTGTACATGGGTAGCACTTCCTTGACATCGTTACATTAATACACATCTTATACTTTTATGTTGTCGTTTGGAGGAAGGAAGTTCCTAGCGATTGAGAGGAATACTTTTGATTTAATTAGTGATGGTAGGCAGACAGATGGTTTGAGAATTTGTGAGAATGGAAGGGGGTATAGAGTGACAATTTTCCTAGAAAATGAGGAGGTTAAATGGTTTCTCGAGTCATTGGAGGAGTTCTACTGGGGTAACCAGGTCTCGTGGTTGCGTAGTATATTCAGCAGAAACAGGGA